CTGAGAGCTGCTGTTCCCTAGAGATGCCGTGTCCGGCGTGGCTCTGTGCACAGAGGGTCTGAGAGCTGCTGTTCCCTAGAGATGCCGTGTCCGGCGTGGCTCTGTGCACAGAGGGTCTGAGAGCTGCTGTTCCCTAGAGATGCCGTGTCCGGCGTGGCTCTGTGCACAGAGGGTCTGAGAGCTGCTGTTCCCTAGAGATGCCGTGTCCGGCGTGGCTCTGTGCACAGAGGGTCTGAGAGCTGCTGTTCCCTAGAGATGCCGTGTCCGGCGTGGCTCTGTGCACAGAGGGTCTGAGAGCTGCTGTTCCCTAGAGATGCCGTGTCCGGCGTGGCTCTGTGCACAGAGGGTCTGAGAGCTGCTGTTCCCTAGAGATGCCGTGTCCGGCGTGGCTCTGTGCACAGAGGGTCTGAGAGCTGCTGTTCCCTAGAGATGCCGTGTCCGGCGTGGCTCTGTGCACAGAGGGTCTGAGAGCTGCTGTTCCCTAGAGATGCCGTGTCCGGCGTGGCTCTGTGCACAGAGGGTCTGAGAGCTGCTGTTCCCTAGAGATGCCGTGTCCGGCGTGGCTCTGTGCACAGAGGGTCTGAGAGCTGCTGTTCCCTAGAGATGCCGTGTCCGGCGTGGCTCTGTGCACAGAGGGTCTGAGAGCTGCTGTTCCCTAGAGATGCCGTGTCCGGCGTGGCTCTGTGCACAGAGGGTCTGAGAGCTGCTGTTCCCTAGAGATGCCGTGTCCGGCGTGGCTCTGTGCACAGAGGGTCTGAGAGCTGCTGTTCCCTAGAGATGCCGTGTCCGGCGTGGCTCTGTGCACAGAGGGTCTGAGAGCTGCTGTTCCCTAGAGATGCCGTGTCCGGCGTGGCTCTGTGCACAGAGGGTCTGAGAGCTGCTGTTCCCTAGAGATGCCGTGTCCGGCGTGGCTCTGTGCACAGAGGGTCTGAGAGCTGCTGTTCCCTAGAGATGCCGTGTCTGGCGTGGCTCTGTGCACAGAGGGTCTGAGAGCTGCTGTTCCCTAGAGATGCCGTGTCTGGCGTGGCTCTGTGCACAGAGGGTCTGAGAGCTGCTGTTCCCTAGAGATGCCGTGTCTGGCGTGGCTCTGTGCACAGAGGGTCTGAGAGCTGCTGTTCCCTAGAGATGCCGTGTCTGGCGTGGCTCTGTGCACAGAGGGTCTGAGAGCTGTCATGCCCTAGAGATGCTGCAAGGCTCCCGCGTCACAGTCACCCGTGCGTGCAGCTCAGGCAGGGTTTCATAGGAAGCTTTGCTGGGGGCGGGGGAGGAAGAGCCAGGCGCTGTGGTTCCCTTGCAGGCTGAGGCAAGCTCTTGCGTTAGTGCCCGTTGCCTGGCTATGTCTCCCTCGGACGCCTGCAGAGGGGATGAATGTGACTGCAGCAGCCCGGGTATGTCAAATTCACAGAGCTGTTGGCTTGCTCGGCTGCTACCCCTGGGCCTTGGGGAATTCAAAGGACCCATGAGTCAGGGCTGAGTCAGTGCCCCAAGGTGGTGCTGTGGGGGGATCGGTCCAGCAGAGTGTGGGCACAGAGGCTGGTAGGAGATACTCCTTCCTCCCTCTCAATTAGTACCACCCCCGGCACTGCTGCAGGGAGTAATGTGTGTGGCCCAGTAGGGGGCGCTCTGCCTTGTATTCAGTGCTGCCCCAGGACCCCAGTGGGGGTGCTGTGGGGCAGGGGTTCAATAGGGGGCGCTCTTCCTTGGTAGTCAGGGCTGATCCCAGTGTGGGTGTTGTGCTGCAGGGCATCAGTAGGGGGCGCTTTCCCCCTGCATTCAGGGCTAACCCCAGTGGGTCACTAGGGGCGCTTCCAGATCAAACGCAAAACCGAAACTGGAACTCAGGGATGGGCAATAATTTGTGGTGGGGGCCACTCCAAGATTTTGGTAAGTGGTCAAGGGCCACATTTTCTATGGAGGGAGTGCGGGGTCTGGGACGGAGGCTGGGTACAGAAGGGAGCTCAGGGTAGGGGACTGGGGTGCAGGAAGGGAGGTGGGGTCTGAGTGGGAGTTTGGATGAAGGAGGGAGTTGTGACCTGGGGGAGGGGTGCAGCGAGTTTGGGTGGTGACCTAGGGGTGCAGGGTCAGGGAGGGGGTACGGGTGCTGGGGGAGGGGTGCAGAAGGGAGTGCGGGGTCCGGGAGGGGGAGTGACCTGGGGGAAAGGGAGTGCAGAGGGTTGGAGTGGTGACCTGGGTGTGGGAGGAAGTGGGGTGTCAGGTACAGACTCTGGCTGGGAGGCGGTTGCCTAGGTGACTCCCAGCCAGCAGCCCAGCGGCACCCTCAGGCAGGCTCCAGTTTCCAGCCAATGGGAGCTGTGAAGATTGTGCTGGGGGTGGGGGCAGCACACGAAGTCTCCTCACCCCCGTGGTCTCCCCCTCCTCTGCGAGAGGCACCCCGTGCAGAAAGGCCCATGGCCCCAGCAGCCAGCCTCTTGGAGCGGCCTGGGGCCTGCCTGAGGGTGCCGGTGGGCTGCGGGCCGGATTCAAAGGGAGCAGCCCGGGCCAGAGGGATTCTCCTGCTGCTGCAGTCCAGGGGCGGCGGGTATCATAGGCTCTGCCTTCCCAAACTGCCAGGCCTGGCCCCGCCCATGCTCTGCCCCCAGAACACCTACTGTAAGCGTACCGGGGCAGAGCATTGCTGCCCCCAGTGCCCGTCCTCCCTGTGCCCCTGGGCCAGCGATGCGGGGGCTGCGCGCTCTCCTCCCTCCCCGTGGTGCTGGGGGGCGGGGCCTGGGTAGAAGGGATGGGGGGTTTCCTCTCCGAGCTCTACCTTCACCCACTGTCCATGCTACAGTTAACCCACTTCCCTGAGATGCTGGCGTGACTATGCCATGGGTAGAGCCCTGCCGTCCATGTGGATGACGATGTGGATATCTGCGGCTGATTTTTGCAGATATGGATACAGATGCAGATACACGTTTTTTGTTTAGAGCCCTGCAAATTTTCAGATATCTACTTTATAACCATGGGTATAGGCATGGATGCAGGTATCTGCTTTATAGCCATGGGTATCCATATACATGCAGATATCCGGTTTATATCTATGGGTATCTGCATGGATGCAGAAATCTGTTTTATATCTATAGCTATGTGCATGGATGCAGATATCCGCTTTATAGCCACGGGAATCTGCATGGATGCAGATATCCAATTTATATCTATGGGTACTCACATGAATGCAAATATCCACTTTATATCTCAGAGTATCCGCATGGATGCAGATATCTGTGCATCATTTTTGCAGAGGCAGATATGGATACAAGTTTTGTATCCTTGCCGGACTGTCATCATGGGCCGCTGACATTGGTGGGAGACAGATTTCCATGTAGACGCACATGCAGCTAAGACAGTGCTTCCTAGTGTAGAACAGGCCTAAGACAAGTTTTCACTCGCACCCTGAGCAAACACCCATTGCCAGCTGGCCAGATGTTACGGGGGGACGAGATCAGAATTCTAAACTGGACCAGCACGTGACTGTCGGATTCCTAACGGGGCTTGTTCTGGGCACGAGCTGTTAGGAACTTGTGGCCACAGAAAAACCACCGGGTGGGATTTGAAGGGCTGATCACTGGCCAGAGCCCTTAGTGGAGCCGAGGTGACTCTCTGATCCGTGCCCTGCGCCAGGGCACTAGAAGAGCCCCCATATCCACGCAGGGGGATCCCAGAAGCTTTGTATTTTGGATCTCTCTGCCACACTTATAGTTCTGGGGGCCAGTGACGTAGCGTCACTTGATCAGCACGTCTCTAGATCATCTGTTAGCTCCAGAGCGGAGTCCATCAATAGCCCAGGGCTGGCAGGGGCCTGTCCGCTGGGAGACGGCGCAGCCGGTGACAGGGTCGTTTGTGTTTGCCTGCCTGTGTGACAACGGAAGGGCTAGTTAGAAAACTTTGTTGGGACTTCAGGCGACTTTCAGGGCTATGTCTTGGATTGGCGTTCGACAATGTGCATTTTCCTCATCGGCGTGCAGAATACTTTTTGTCATGTGCACCAAGGCACATGCAGATAGCAACCACCAATAGCAACCCCCAAGGCACCACCAATAGCAACGCATGCTGCCAGCTGGGGGCGCTCTGCTAATCAGCTGGGCGGCACTTGAATCTCTCCTGGGTAGCCGCCCAAGCGCTCAGCTTACTGGGAACCCTGGCGCTTAACTCCACTAGCCACCTCCTGGGGTCTTGCAGGAGGAGCAACACGGCCGAGGCAGGCAGATGACCTGGACATACCCAGTAGGACACACGACTCTGCCCAAGAGAGGCGATGGCTCCAGGGAGTGCCCAGCTGGACCCTGGAGTGGGAGTCCAAGCGCAGTTGGCCTGACCTGTGACCAATGACTCCTTCAGGAGTGCAGAGGAGAAACCAAATGGCTGCTCCCAAATCCCATCCAGCATATGGAGCATCTCCATGGCCTTCCCTGTCCTGGCATCACATGGAATCGCTAACCAGCAGGCCTTTAAACTGGCTCCCCCTTCCTGCGGTGACGGGGGTGGGCCACAGCTCATGTGGAGGTTTTCAGGGCAGCTGGACGAGCTCGTCGGTTGGTGAATAAAGCTGAGATTCTGGAGAGCGAGCGAGAAGGCTGGAGAGGGGCAGGACTGGAGCGCCGGGACATGCTGGCTTGGCTGAGCCCTGGTGGACGGGATACCTGCATGCTATTTGCGACCACCTCCATCCAGGGGCTGGTGTCAATGAAAATGCTCCGAAAATGCCCCGACTCTTCATCACTCCCAGCTCTGCCACTGGCCTGCTGGGTGACTTTGTGCATATCCCGTCTCTGCGCTGTGCCTCAGTTTCCCCTCCCATTTCTGACTACATAGGCAGTCTCCCTCTTTGTCCGTGCAGTACACAGCACAGGGGGCCCTGCTCTGTGTTGGGACCTCTAGGTGTTACGGTCATACAGGCTGGCTATGGCCTGGCCTCGATTTTGGATGGGGTGCTACCGTAATGCCCCATATAAAGGGGAAATCCCCCTTCCCCCTTTTAAAGACCTTCTTTCTCTTTTTAGCTTTCACTTTCTTTGACCCGAATGACCCGGCTTGCCAGGAAATCCTCTATGACCCCCAGACCACAGTCCCGGAGCTGTTTGCCATCATCCGACAGTGGGTCCCCCAGGTGCAACATAAGATTGACGTCATAGGCAGCGAGGTGAGTGGGGGGTGTGGGCGGCACCTTACCCAACGCCTGCGTGTGTGGCCCGGCACTGGAGAGAGGCTGCCGGCCGCCTGCCCTGGGATGCGCCAGCGGGGCTGCAGCTGGTGGAACTGGTACATCCTGCTCAGAGAAGGGTCTGGTTGCGCTGAGGCCGGAAACCAGCCTGCAGGAAATTCCGAAGGGGATCTGGTGGGCTGAGAGCCGGGAGTCCTGGGTTCTAGTCCCGGTTCTGGGAGGGGTGTGGGGCTGAGCGGGGGAGAGCCGAGGAGAGCTGGGAGTCGGGACGGCTGGGTTTTACCTTCAGCACTGCTTCTAATTCACTGGGTGGCCTAGGCAAATCCCTGCCCCGCTTTGTGCCTCAGTTTCCCCCTTGTGGCAAAGGGGCAGTGCCCACCTTGGCGATCTCCAGGGCAGATGGGCACCGTGACGCTGCTGTTAGAAACCTCCCCTCGGACCCTGAAACTCGCTTGTCCCCTGCATCTGTCAAGCTGCCGCCACGGGGGACCCTGACGTGGGGTGCAGTGGGATGGAAGTGGGGAAGGGGG